CAGTGCCTAGTGCAATGGGATTGTGGTTGGAATTTTAATAATACTAATGATGCTAATACTACTAATAAACAAAGTAATTTAAACCAGGGATCCAGGACATTCATGGACTTAGGCATCCCATAATTTACCCATCTCTTGATTAATTTTCATCATAGCTGTTTCTTAATATTGGCTTTGACAGCAATTAGGATAAATTAAACCTTTAATGAGCACACAACTGCTGGGCTACAATGGGATTATGGTAATTGTCAGAGCGGAGTTGTACACGAATTGGTTTCACAAGCTTTTAGAAGTGTTAGTTATCTGACCAAAAAATGAGATCAATGAAGTTGGTGATAATTAAAACAAATAGTAAGGAATAAAAATAGCCTAATTTTGAATTTATGAAGGTCGTTAAGAGCTTACATGGATAATTTGGCTGGCACTAGGAGCATTATTGGGAGGGTGGTCATGGGGAAATATGTGTTTAGAAAACAAATAGAAACAAGAACTGACCTTCATCTTTCCAAGTCATTTAAAGGAAAGCTGTTCTAATGGAATAAGGGCACCTAAGCATCATTTGTGGACCTTTGCTAACCTCTGATCATTAGTAATTATCTTCATTGCATGGGTTAATTAATAAGAGGTAATTCATAAATAGGTGAAGAACATATCCATCCATTAATGGCATTAATGCTGTGAGCGATGATAATAACAGAGTGCAGTGAGTGACAATTTACCTCTTCTAAAAGCTGTGCAAACATCAAGCATTTATTCGCTCCAAGTCCCCTTTGAATTAGGTATAATTGTGTCTACTTCACCGGTGGCATAACTGAAACATAGGCCTATGAAATGGGAAGGGGCGCAGGGCATATTCTGGCACAATGGCAAAGGGGGTAGGCTGTATCAAGTGTGGGAGGAGCCATGGCAAAGCAAACCTGATCCCCAGCAAAGCTAAACCTCTGCAAGCCCAATAGGAGACATGGAAGCAGTGCTGACATGTAGGATGACCTAAAGGCTGCTCTAGCTTGTGCCAGGGGGCTACGCCAGGTCCCAGTGGGAAAGAGGAAATGAGGTGAGGCGAGGTATATTTATCCTTATCATTACACCAATGCAGGGCTTAATCTGGCACAGAGATGTTAAGTGTCTTCCATATTTCACATAGATGTTTAAAGTCCCATGGTGATGACTTAAGCATTTTGCATGAACTTAGTGTACTTGGGTAGAGACAGCACTGAAAACACCTGTGCCTCATTCCCAGGTGAAATATATGACCTGGCATGACTTTGAGAAAGACTTGGCTTCCTTGGGCTTCAGTTTATTTGCCTGCACATAAGCCATAATGGCCCAGACGGAGGAGTTGTGTGTGTGAAATATTGTTCAAGTGCTTGAAATCTTTCTGGCCAAGGGAACTTGATAAATGCAAACATGGCAGCATTGGGTTTTGCCCAAGTCCATCTGGACTAGCCCTGTCAAAGGGATTGGAGGGTGAAAGTCAGATTCTCTTGGTATTTGGGGTCAACTTTTCCATAATGTTGAAATAAAGTCATCAGATTGGCTTAGGCCCTGTTGACATACGTTATCCATCATCTCTCTTAGGATTTGCCCTGAAAGGGGAGTGAAGTGGTTTGCTCTCTAGAGGCACCGATGGATATCAAGAGATCTGCTGAGTTTCATGGCCTGCTTCCCAAATTTTCTGTGCCTCCTCTCTTTCCTACTTCTCCACATTCACCCCCTACGTAGTCTTTTAGCAGTATAATTCCTGCAGTCACTACATGCACTCAGTATTGCCAGCTCTCATGATGTTTGGCATTGTTCTTAAAGTCTCCACTTTGGGAATGTGAAAACTTAGTTTATACCCCAAAGCGTAAACTTTAAGAACAACACCAAACATCATGAAAGTTGGCAACACTTTATACTGCTTGGTTCTCCTGAATGCACCGTAACAGGTATGTTGGCACTGGATTAGGACCCAGCACCTATACTTGTTCTGGGCAGGCACAAATCTCAGACCGGCCATGACATCTGCCAGTCGATAATAGGCGAATTTATTGATACAGAGTAAGAACAAAAAAGCAACAATACAAACAATCAAGCGATTCTATATCTACCAATCCTAGGGCTGTTATGAGTTAAAGTACATTTGGTCAGGATGCAGGCTCTACTCTGAGGCTCTCTCTTAGATGTTAGCAGTGTGAAGGTGGGATGCAGAGGCCCACAGCCCCCCTCCAGTGGGGTGTATGAGACAGGCTACTGGTATGCCCTTGGTCCATGGTGATCTCAGGGACCCTTCCTGGCGGACCCCTCTCAGGGAGCAAAACGGGGAAGGATGAGAGGAAACAGGGAGGGACAGGAGGAATGGACAAGACAAAGGTAGGGATGGGAGGGATCCTTTCTTACTCCCAAGTCTCTTCTTTTATATTCTCCTCCCCCCTTGATGACTCCTGATGACTCTTCATCCATGGCTATCTCTGATTGGTTGTCTCTCTGTGGTCACACGTCCACGTAGCCTTCTGGGCCATCTCCTAATTTGGTCTGTTCCCCCAAAACCGGGACTTAGGCCCCCCTGCTCTCTGAGGTCTAGTTGCTGGTGTTGCTTATCTCATGTTATTGGACAGTATGGTACATACTTCTTTGGTTCCCAGGCTGTTTCCTAGACTGTGTGTCCTTGTTGGTCTTGTGGTGCTAGACAGCCCATCTATTTCCAGGACTGCGATCTCGTGTTATGGCATGCCCCACTTCGTTCTCAGTCTATGTCCATTTGTTGGCCTTGTTGTGCTAGACAGCCCGTCTGTTCTCAGGGCCATGAGAAGTTGTGTGCATCTCCTAATTTCTTTAGAAATCCAATTAATCCTTGCTGTCCATCTTGACCCCTTAAAATACATATATCTATACCTATTAGCCAATTCCCAAAAAACAGAACTTTAAATGCCATTTGTAAGCCAACAGAGTACAGCATCGAAGTGTTTGAAGGAGGCAGCATGGTGGACACAGGTTAGTGGAACAACCTTACATAAAGCAGCTGGCCTCACCGCCCCATTCTCTCCTCAATCCCGGGATTGAGTCCTTTGACTTGGGCATCACAAACCCTCCAGGGGACATGTTATGTCAGGCAAGGAGCTTATTGGCACAGTTTCTCCCCCTGCATCCAAGTGTGGCTCCATGTCACAGAAGTGAAGTGGAGCAGCTTATAGTTCCTTGTTCTTACAGGAAACCGTACATTGGGCCTGGCCTTACTGTTAAGTAGAGCAGTCCAGAGGCTGCTCTAACCCATATCCACTCTGCCATTTACCCAATATCAATAGGAAGTTGAAGGGCATTGCTGATTCCCCTTGTTTCATGCCAGCAGGGAATTCTGATCCATGAGAGAAACCACTAACCAGAACCTGAGCTTTTCTTGGACAAGGCTTTTGGGGCTAAGCAAAAGCAAGAATGTGTCCTGCAGTTTTCTTTTCTTTTCTTTTCAACAGTCACTTAATTTACATAAATGATGCCTTCTGCAAGCACATTAAAAACTTGGGCTTCAGCCAATACTTACCTATTCATTCTCCCCATTGTTGATGAGCTTTAGCATAGCTCAAACCTTACGTTGCGGTTTTCCTTGTGAAACAATGCCCTTGTGCACTAATGCAAAAATGTTTCCACCTAAGAGCTGCCCTTGTAGCTGAGCGAGAGAGTAGTTCTCCCATTTCCAAAAACAATCTGTACAGGCTGTCACTGCTTGGCAGCTTCCAGTGGCCTTGAACTCGATAAGGGTTGACAGAAACATCAGAGGTGGGGCAGTGTAGATCACAGAGACAGCTGCTGTAGGTCTCCTGCAAGATTTTGTATCTGCTACTTCTATGCTTAATGAGACCCTTGCCAGGCTATGAGCATACTTGTCAGAGTCCTAGAGCAAGCAAGATTCAGGAGTGCCTCCGATGTGCAGAACGAAATAAAGAATAATGTTGGGATATTAAGTACCTGATGCAAATAAAAGGAAAATGTAGGTCTGGGTCTTCAGATTGGGTACATCTACGGAGAATCATTGGCTTCGGTGCAGATTTGTATCAGCTGAGGGTTAGGGCCAGAGAAATGATTTGAAGCTGGGGAATTATACAAAGGAACTGACAGTGTGGCGTGGGTGCACTTGAAGTGGATGCTTTGTCCTGCTGTCCCATCCTCCTACCGCTGCACAACTCACTCTGTATCAACAGGGCCTTGATTTCAAAACCAAGCATACAATATAAGAGGGATGATCTAGGATGTGGTAGGAATAAATACATCAGGGAAGGCTCTGCTTTCTGGTATGCTGGGGTAACTCCATTCAAGTCTCTGGAACAACTGTGGATTTACAGCCGTGTAGATGAGATGAGAATTTAGACTGCTGCACTTTCGATTGGATTTGTCTCCCACAGCTTCTGCTGTTACTCACTTTCCTTGTCGCATGCTGTTATGCCTCTTTCTTCTTTTAATGATTGTTGGGCAATAATACTTTGGAGGAACAGCAACTAAAAGAAGAGAATACAGAATACATAGTCAGATTTTTTTTCCCCCCTTTGCTTTGAGGCTTGCATGTTGTTTGTGCTACCACAGCTGAAGTACAGCTTGATTTTCTTTTTACAGTAGCAATGCAGATTTTACCAAAGGAGAAAGTCATATTTTTTTGTGTGCGAGTCTTCTCTTTTGAAACAAGATCTTCTATAGCCTTTTTTCCCCCACCTAGTATGTGGCCTCTTTGACTAAGATGTGAATGAAAAGGATATTTTAATTCCTTAGGCACAGGAGACAAGGTGAGTGTGTTCTATTATTAAGGACTTCCCTATACCACCCAGAATGAATTCATCAGTTATTATTTTAAATGCTTTTGTTTCAAGTGGATACGAGATCAGAGGAAGAAAATAGTCTTTCAGTCGTTGTGCGGTGATGCAGCCACAGGAAACTGTTGGCTTGGGGAAGGGGGTGGAGAATTTAACATTTCCTTGCATATATTACCTCTACCGAAACACTGACAATTATTTTTTTTTAATCTTTCCAATTAGATGTTTGCCAAACTACTGTGAACATGGAGGGAAATGCTCTCAGTCCTGGACCACCTTTTACTGTGATTGTAGTGAAACGGGTTACATGGGAGCTACCTGCCATAACTGTAAGTAAACCTGCTAAGGATACTCTGATACAGCCAGTCTATAGGAAATCCAAGTGCAAAAGCAAAACGTGCATGCTGCAAGGAGCCCTCTGCTTTACTGGATGCAATAGGCTGCTCTCAGACAGGGTAGCAATGGGTCAGCACCTAGCCTATTACTAGCAAAGGAGTCTATTGCACAAGCACACAAGTCTCTTGACACACTTAAAGAAGAGTTTCTGGAGCTGAATTAAAAGTCAAAGGACTTTCTCTTGTCCAGCTTTATTGCATTTTCTTATCTCCTCCTTTTCTGCAGCATCCATCAAATTGCATCCCTTTATCTTGAAGCTTCTGGATTTTTCATAAACAATGTGCTCAGCCAGAAGTTTTCCTATAGTAAAACAGACCTTAGTGTTTTTTGGAGTTGCAATGGTCACTATCAGAACTATATCAAACACCCATAATTATAAGTGTGGGGGTGAAGCTGGTGTGTTAAAGAATGATTCTGGAGCATGGTCTATAGTAACAGTATTGTATGTCTGTGGGCATGTCTACATGAGACACTTATCATGAGCTGCTGAAGTAGCTCCACAGTAAATATCTCGGTGTCTACACATGCAGCCCTATTCAGCTGCAGGAAACTAATAAACACAGCAGGGGAGTTCTTGTATTTACATGTGTAGACACTAATGGGGCTGGCTGGGGTACAAGAGTGCTTCCATGCGAGGCTGCCTGCCAGCTGGCCCCACACGAAAGCACCCTCATGTCCCAACCAGCCCCTTTGCAGCATATTGATCTGGGTCGGAGCAGCCCCGGGCTGGCAGGTTGACCCCTGGAGCCCCCTGCCAGCTGGGGCTACTCTGCACAGCTCAACTCAACATGCTGGGATCGTGGGCACACAGTCAAACAGCACACCTGGGAGCAGTAAACTTTGGTGTAATAAGTGCTGAAGTTTATTGTTCCACATTAATTGCGTGTGTGGATGCGCCCTGCGAGGTATAAAATATATGTGCTATTAATTTTGTCAAATTGGGTCAGATATATATAAAAGAGGGAGAGGTCAGCTTCTTCTTTTAAAGTTATCCTACTTTAATTGCAATAATATCCTGGTTTCAGTTTCATAGAGGTTTGACAAACTCAGTATTTTGGCTGAAGTTTTTCGTGCTGGGGGTTGCCCACATCTGTGCATATGCAAGTGTTATTTGCATTTCTCCTACAATTCATAGATTCATAGATGTTAGGGTTGGAAGAGTCCTTTGTAGATCATTGAGTCCAACCCCCCTGCAGGAAAGAGAGGTGGGGTCTTTGTTTTGGTGTTTCTAAGAACAAGGCTGAGGGAGGAGAGAGGGGGATGAAGGTATTGGCTTTTGAAAAGGTTTAGTACTTTCTAAAAGGAACTTCTTGTTGGTGTAAGGTATGTGTGTTTTGTTGTACGTATGATAATCTCCCCAGGTTTTTCACAGTTATAGGGCAAATTATTAGGGCTGTGCAAAACTTCAGTCCCTAATTCGATTCAGCCCAATTCGGTGGCCGAATCTCTGAATCCGAATCAAATCAGAGGACCCTTTAATCTCTCTGAATCAAACCGAAACCCTCCAAATCGATTCAGAAAGATTCGGAGATGTGGACATAGTTACAGCTTAAATGTTTTTTCTTATATACCTCTAGGTACCCGGCGGCTTGCGAATGATGCTATACTGGGGTGTATGTAGCATCCCACAGGAGCACGGGGGGCTCCCCAGTGCGCTCAGCAGCAGACCTGGAAGTGGACCAGAAGCGCTTCCAGTTCACTTCCAGGTCCACTGCGGGGTGCGCCAGGGGACGCCCCACCACCCCACCCCCCGGCTCAGCAAATGGTGCCTCCTGGGTCTGGGGGGGGGAGGGGCATTTGGGAGCCCAGGAGGCATAGGGGGGCCCCCAGCAAAGCTAATCACTGTGCTGGGGGGGGGCTCAGGGGGCCCCCCAGCGTGCTGCCTGGTGGACCCAGAAGTGGACCAGAAAAGTTTCCGGTCCATTTCTGGGTTCACTGCTAAGCGTGTGGGGGTGCCCCCCGCTCTCCTATGGGATGCTCTATCTGCTCCAGCATCGCAGCATTTACAAGCCACGCCTGGTACCTCGAGGTATGTAGAAAAAACATTTAAAGCTGTGTCTGTGGCTGAATCGTTGATTCTCCGAATCAGCATCAAATCTTCAGATCTGGATTCAGCCGAATTGAATTAGAGACAGTGATCCAAATCAACTAATTCGAATCTCTATCCCCAATTCAGGGCAAATCTAAATCAAATAGGGCCCATTCTGCACACCTCTACAAGTTATATGCCTCTACAGTCACACATGCTCAATAGTGCCAGGGCTTGAAATCTCAGAAGTCCATATTCACTGCTATTGCATACCTGTTTTTACCCAGCATGTACATAGGATCAGTGGTCAGCCTAGTAAAATTCATGGCAAGGAAAGGGAGCCTCATTAACAGGCAAACAAAGCAGCCCCTAGAAACAGAGCAAATAGGCAGTTTGTAAGGACTCCGGCTACTGGGAATGACAAAAAGCCTTGCACAAGCATGAAAGCAAAGGAAGCAGTAATTGAGTCTGTGTACAGAGATGACCATGGGGACAAAAGATGAGGAAATGATTGTAAAAGATATTTTTTTCATACCCTCATGTAGGGGAAAGAAGGATGATAAGTGAGAGAGAGGCTGATATCGGGAATAAAGTCAAGAACACTAAAATATCCATTAAAGGTGTCAGATGAGTATTGTGACTCCATATAGAATGAGACTGTATGGACGTCGAAGTAAAGGATGGTGGTGTTTTGTTTATTTTAATCCAAAACCAAGAAGCAGAAGAGGCAATAGCTACTTAGGTTCAGCTGAAGACTTTGCCACCCCCACATCGTTTGGGAGACTTTAATGATTCCCTAATTAAAGACAAGGGCATTTGTGGGATGCGAGGTTCCCATTTGCCGGAGAGAGAGAAAGAGAGGGATCCGTCTGTGGAGAAATAGCAAGGGCACCGGAAAAGTTCAGGTAAAAGATTGAAACAAATAGCAGCCAGCATTGAGGAACAAAAGCACAGTATCCAGCTAAAGAAACTCAGGACACAGGACAGATTGAGAGATATATCTGCAGGCTGGTGCCAAAGTATCTCAGTATACAAATAATGAAAAAGGCAGCTGCTGGCTGCTCACTTGCTCTATTTGCAAGTAGGGGGGTTTCAACAATGAATTTAATTTCAGCTGGATGAAAGAGCTAGCAGCTTACCTTCAAGCATAGTGATAAACAGTGATATTAGACTGGAGAAATATGGGAATGTACTGGTGTGATGTACAGTAGGGCTATGCAAAGCTTCAGGTGCTGATTCGCTTCGGAGCAGATTCGGCTCGATTTGGTGGCCAAACCTCCAAAACCGAATCGAATCAGGAGACCAATTCAAAGGTCTGAATCAATTTGAATCTCTCAGAATCGGGGCGGGGGGCAGTGGGGATTGCCCCCTGCCTGGCAGGAGCTGGTGAACAAAGGCTTTTTTTTTTTTTTTTTAAGGGCAGGGCAGGGCAGCCAAGGGGGGTGGGGCTAGGAAAGCAGGTGGGGGTCAGGGGACTCATGGCAGAGCCCCCCACATAGCATGGGGCAGTGGGGATTGCCCCCCTGCCTAGCAGCAGTTGGTGAATGCAGGCTTCTTTTAAAGAGCCAGGACCTGAAAGAGCGGGTGGGACAGCCATTGAGAGTGGGCAGGGGATGACGCCGATTCAGAGATTCGGCTGTGGCTAAATCTCCAAATCAGATTCAGCCAAATCAATTCGGGACAGTGATTCGAATCACCGAATCAAATCACCATCACCCAAATCAGCTGAATCTGAATCCGAAGTGAATACTAGCTGCTTTGCACAGGCCTAATGTGCACAGTCTTTAGCACAAAGAGTTGTTCTGTAGCCAGTGGGCCCATGTACCTGTTGATAAGAATCCCGTGAAACAAGAGACATTATTGCTTGTAGTTGATAACAGTTGACACAGTTTCCTGTAGCAAGGCACTGAAAGCCATTAAGTCAGTTGTAGTATAACTTCTGTGGAAGAGCAGGTCCTCCATTGGCATAATTCAGCATTGCTCCTTTAAAGTGAAAATATATATTTGTAATGTTTAGCGCATGGTTAAAACAGAACCTGATTTTCACAGGACCTGTGAAGCTGACAGGCCTTTAATTTAACTTACCCCACTTCAGAAATGTTTTTTTCTTGTATTGAACTGCACTCCTGATGTTGGAAACGTGCAATACATCTGCATCAAGGTTGAACAGATCTAATTTGCAACCTGCCCAGAGTCAGAGTTGAGACTAGTTGGCTTCATGCTGGGCCAGACCTCACAAGGATGAATGTCATTTCTTCCTCCTGTGCTGCTTCTGGGCACCTCTACCCCATTTTCATGGGCAATCAAGTCTGTGACAATATAGGAGAGAGCTGTTTTCTGAAGCTGAGGTTGGAGCCCTTGTCTAGCATTTCAAGGTTTGAGACCTTGCCTGTAAAATTCCCTGTCTTTGGGGTTGTGGTGAAAAGAACCAGAACAAGTCAGGCTAATATTGTGTCTGCAGTGTTTGTCTGTCCACGACTGAGAAAACTGAAGGTGCAACTCTAGATGACCCTAGCTCAGGCGTGGGCAAAGTTCGAGCTATGGGCTGGATTGGGCCCACAGTAGACTCCCATTTCCCAGCAGCCCCTGCCCGTGCCACTTGGGCTGGTCTTCATAGAGACCCCATGAGTGACAGGGCCATGCCAGCCCCATGTTCCCGGGGTCTTCATGGAGCCCATGGCACTGGAAGGGCTCAGGGAGCGGCTCCGGGGCTGGGATTTTGCAGCAGTGCTGCAATCTGCTGCCTGCATGCCCTTGCCTGCAAAACCCGCACTTGTCACAGCGGCATGTGGGCTCTACCCTGGCTCTGGCCCATGCTGTCACCACCACAAGATCTGGGGCCTGGCCCCGGAGCAGCTTCCTGCCCAGCCACATGCCCTGCCAGCACCGTTTGGGTCGGTCTCT